GAGAGTTTGACAAAGGGCCTGGGCCTTCCTGCCAGCTCTTCAGCCCTCTCCGGATGCCAAGCCGGCCTAGCTTCCAGGGGTAGCATCTCCACCGCAACGTCCTGGGTTTGCACCACCCGCCTGCAGCCTGTCCTCGGGCGGGTCCACCCTGCTCGGGGACTTCTACCCTGGACCACTCGGAGCTGGCCTCTAACCAAGCACCCGTGCTGTGTCCCCACAGGTCTCCCAGGCAGCCGCTGACCTCCTGGCGTACTGCGAAGCGCATGTGCGGGAAGACCCCCTCATCATCCCGGTGCCTGCGTCAGAGAACCCATTCCGGGAGAAGAAGTTCTTCTGCACCATCCTCTAACCCCAGTGGTGAATGCCCCTCCTCCGTCCACAGAAGCTGTAGGGACCGTGCATGCTGTTAGCCTTGGGGCGCCCCCGCCCCACCCCACCCCCAGGCCGGCTCACCTCGGTTTTTCATGTTTTCTTCCTGATATTCCATTTCTTTTTATTTGTATTCTCTCATTTTTATGTCATTTTCACTAGTGGCAAAGAGAAATAGACATTTTTATAGCCAAATGACAAATGTGCCCTGTAAACGGTAAGATGGATTTAAGGGTTTACGGGTTTTAAACACCAATTCCCAAGTTTAAATACATGTAGTTAATGAATTTACTCGATAATTCATTGAAATGAAAAAGCATGCCCAAGTAGCCCCCACTTCGGTAACTTGGTTTTGGATGAGAGCATCTCGACCAACTGCGAGGTGCGGGGGTCCCCCGCCGGAGAGAGCAGCACTGGGGTCCCCCACTCCCGCTCCTCCAGGGAATCAACAGCTTCCCTGACCTGCGCTGGGGGCCGCGCAGCCCACCCCGGTTGGACGGCCCTTGCCTCCCTCCGCTTCTCATGGATCGCTGCAAGATGGTCCTCTTCCAAATGCAACCCTGGGGTGGTAGCCACTGCTTGCCCTGACCCTAAGCAAGGACCAGGACAGCCCTCAGTCGGTACTCAGGCACCGCCACTGCCACCTCTCCTGCTCTCTACTACTCTGGCCCGGTCCCATCCACAAGGGCCCTTGCTGGGAGCAGCACAGGTCCAGCCAGGCTTCAGCGGAGTGACAGCAGCTCCCGGGAGCCGCCCGCTGATCTGGCCTTGGCGCCAGCTAATTTAACCCTCCAACAATGGAGACCACGAGTGAAGGTGTCTCTGGAGGGAGGGAAACTGAGGCATGAGAGATGACGGGGTTTGCCCACAGTTACGGACCGCAGTGGGGAAACCCTACTGCCTGTGCAGGAATTCAAGCCCCCAACCTCCTGCGGCCCTGGCTGGGACGCCTTCCAGGCTTAACCTGTGGCAGGTGGGTGGGCCACATCAGGAAGCTCACCCGCTGCTCAGCAGACTTTCCCACCTCCGCCCAGAGGAGCCTGCTGAGCCTGCATGGGGGCAGCTTATGGAAAATGAGCCCTGCGGGGCCCCAGAGAAAGAGAGGTCAGCCTGCATTAGCCTGGGAGCTTCTGAGACAAACTGCAGGCCCCACCTAAACCACTCATGCATCCCTGATGATGGGGAGGAGCAGCATGGGAGCAGAGGCTCTTAGTCTAAAATGGTCCTGTCCTGAGTATTTGGAACCGGCCTCTCTACTGGGCTCTGCAGGGCCTCGCTGGGTGGCTGGAGCGAGCCACTGTGTGCCCAGCTGTTGTATCTTGCAAAGAGGGCCCAATGTCATTACTCCTCCTGCCTTTCTGTCTGGAAGGAAATCGAGGAGAGCTCTGATTATTGTTTAAAACAAATACATGCACCAAATGCCAAGGTGCAGTGTAGGGAAGAAAGTGGGACTTGAAAGACCCTCCCCAGCTCAGTGGGATGAGGAATATAAAACTGCCTACAGAGAGGCAAATATGATTTTCAGACCAGTTAATGACGGGCTGCCATCAAGAGTGGTGTGAGCACAGGGTCATTCCTTGCTGCTTTTGTTGAACCAGTTCTTAGTTTCAGAAGGCTCACTGATGGCACCAGAGCTGTCAGGAGGCCGTTGGCTCAGATTGCAGAATTGTACGCTGAAGGTGGTGATGGAACTTCCATCCTTCTGCAGTGGGGGCTGTGACCAGGATCTCTTTATTCTGTGGTCTGCATCAGCATCATTAGCCTGATAAAGCAAAATGCAACCCATAAAAGCACATCAGAGGAGCTGAGAAAGTGGGTCGGCACATAGTGGCAAAATCAGGTCAAGAGAAAAACGTGCTTTGAATCTTCCACCGAACTTTCTCCCCTTTTGTTTTTGCTTCTATCCCTCTGTGTTCCATCTTCCTTTTCTCTCTCTGCCCTTTCCCAACTCGATGCTTCCTTACATTCCCCGGTGAGACCCTTTCACCACACCCCCTCACTCCCAGACCTACAGCACTTTCTGTGGGTCACCCCTCCAGGTGTTCCTGAGCTCCGCTCACACTGGGGGCTGTGAGCTCCTCATTCCCATCATCAGTGAAGACAAATGACATAACAGCTACCACTATCATGGACTGCAGCTGTATTGGACAGTTGCCATTTCATACTTTCAGCTTCCTGTAGGGGGAAGTCACCCCTTACACATGAATTTAGTGGGATGTGGAACCCACCCTCCCGCAATGGAAGCTGGAGTGGGTGGGTGTTCCCCATCTTTCAGGTGCCCCCTTTCCCACTCTGTACTAGCCAGGGGGTGGTCAGTGACCCAGGCAGACTACCTGGACCCCCCTGCTTTGTGTTGTGACTCTGGAGCAAATGACACGGAAATGAAATGCTGAGAATCATCTCATGGAAGCTGCAGTGGTCCTCGGATGGTAAAAGCTCAGCAAAAGAAGCCAGACTGCAGGGGTGCATGTCCACTGGTAGCAATGTCCAGGGACGCAGGGTCCTGGGCCCCACTGAGATGCCTTGTCCTTCTTATATCTCCTTCTAGCTTCCTGTTAATTCTGTGAGCCTCCAACCTCCATCCAGTAAATTCTTTATTCTTTCGTGAAATAGCCCAAGTTGGATGGAAATACCATGTTACCTAACAATTCTGCTCTTAGGTATATTCCCAATAGAAATGTGTATGTAAATTTATTAAAAGAAACAATAGAATGTTCACAGAGCACTGTTCATAAAAACCCCAAATGGGAAAGCACCCGAATGCCCATGTTGAGTGGGTAAAATATTAGGGTCTCTTCACATGCTGGAATCCCACGCAGCCCGAGAATGAATGGTCTGCAGCTTCACCCCACAGCCTAGAGGTGAGGGAGGTAAGATGAGTACAGATTATCAATTCCATTTTTATGAAGCACAAAACCTGGCAAATCAATCCAGGTTGCAAGGAGAGATAGGAGGTTCTACTACTACAGAGTCACTACCGAGAAAAGAGTTACCAAGGGAACAGCCACCGCGGGGGCAGGAGGGAGCTTCCGGGGTGCTCTGATTCTGGATCCCATGCCATTCACCTGAATGTGATCCATTTGTGAAAGTTCTTCCATCTGTACACCTTGGATTTGGGTGCTTTTCTATATGTATGTTATACTTCAATAAAAAGTTGGGTTTTGTGGCTACCAGTTATGAATCCTACATTATTTATTTTTTCTATTTTGGCAGTTTTCTCAACTCTTGGCTCCCCCTCAGACATCATCAACATGACACTAGTGATAACTAACATCAACAGTGGGGCATTTTCAGAGTGTGTCTGACAATATATTGAATTGCCATCCACAGCCGTCTGGATGGAGAACAGGCTTTCAGCTCCACCCAGGTGGCTGCCTGGACAGATGTGCCAACACCAGGCTGAGGGCTTTGTAGGGAAACAAGAATTCTACAGGGACGCCCCCAACAGGGCTGAGGTGACAGCCTCTCAGCCCTCCTGCCTCTGACCATGAGGAGTAGAGTGGGGACGGCCTGCCAGGAAACCCATTCTGAGACACCGCCTCTGAGCCAAGAGCCCAGGGGCTCCCTGAGGATCCACACATGACACATGTGAGTGGGTACAAAGGGGCAGGAACTCCAGGCCTGACCCTACTCTTCCAACATGGCTCTCCGTCCGCCAGGCCATGCAGCCAGCCTGCTGGTCCCGATTCCAGAGAAGCCGCATTGGAGCAGTGAAGCCTGGAGCGATGGCCGGGTGGGTTGGAGTGTGGGCAGCAGGCGTGGCCTGAGGCCACGTGGAGCCCACCATGCAGGATGGGGTTCCTGAGGCCCTGCAAACCAAGATGCCAGCCTGTCACCCTTCAGGGGCCGGGCCTGAACACCATGGGTCACCTGCTCAGAAGCCCACTCCACGCAGTGCTGCAGCCCGGAACCTGGGAGCACAGACCCTTTCACTACGTCAACCTCGCACTTCTGACCTGGCCTGAGAAAATGGACGTGGGGCAGACCTGCATGAAAGTCGGGGCTCCAGAGTTGACCAACAGGGTTAGTACCTTTCCAAACCCTAATTAGCATAAGTCTGGACCACTAGCAATGTCCCAAGTGCTATACAAACCCCTGGACTAGCACACCCTTATACTTCAAGTGTTCCGTTCCTGTTTCTGTTTAGTAAGTTCTACTTTTACACTCGTTCATCCTGTTCTGTAGATTTCATTCTTGGAATTCAGGAGGAAAGCCCAGAAAGGAAAAGAAAGAGCCCCAACATGTCTTAGTGACAGAGTCTGCTTCCTTACACACAGTGGAGTGGTGAGACTCCATTCGCACCCATCAGCAGAAGCAGGAACTGAGTTTCATCTCAGCAGCGTGGTCTCACCTCCACCCTGTGCCCACCCCAGGGGCTCCCGCCCACCTCCACACCTCACACTGTTTCCAGGAACTCAGTGCTGCCTTCCTTGCTCTCAGCCATTCCCTATTGGCAGCTCTGCTGTGCGGAACCCAGGGCGATCACAGGATCTTCACGCTGCCCCCATGAGTCCAAGCGCTTGCCTTTGATCGAGCTCCAGGCCCCACAGAACTCAACAATGAGTCAGGAATTCTCAGCAGCCCCCCTCTGAGGGAGCCGTGGGGGAGAGCAAACCAAAGGTCAGAAGGGATTTTGTTCCAGTGGCTGTTCACACTTGAGATTAAATAGTAATGACAAGGGGCTGGGGTTGTGGCTCAGCAGTAGAGCGCTTGCCTCAGCACCACACAAAAATAAATAAAATTGTATCCAACGACAACTAAAAAAAACAAACAAAAATTTTTTAAATAGTAATGACAACAACTCATGCTTGGACCTGCGAACATGGGCCGCGGCAGTGCCCGGAGGGCTCCTTCCATTCCCTCAGCCCTTCATGGAGAGAAGACTCCTGTCATGGTGGTTGTTATCCGGCACCAGGGACACTCTGCCCCTCAGCCTCGTATCCTCCCCCAGAGCCCAGCCCCGGGCAGCTTGCTAGAGAC